TGAGCAATACGATAGTATAGTCGCTGGTAGGGATTTTGTGAGGTCGTAAACCGAAACAACAGTTATTGCTTTATTGACACAGGTAATTGATCCCTAGTACGACAGGGATGTCGCGGATCCAAGATATGCATGTCCATGTTGCACCCTAGGGCACCAAGATTAAATATAAAACATCAAAAACTGTTGACGATGATTGGTTAACTAAGTTCCTACCTACCACATTATTTTCAATAAGTAGAGTCCTTTTACAAAGTGCTGATTCAATAATGCTGCAATTTGTTAAAAAATACTCTCTAATATTAATATTATCTTAAAAGAATTTAAGAAACTTCTGAAATTAAAAAAATTAAAAAAATGAAACAATTGAACCTCCTTAAAATAAAAGTATCAGAAAGTAAAAAGTGATATTTCTCGTCATTATTATTAGTTTAAAACATAAATATTTGAGTCAGTTTGATAAAACTAAACTACAACCTCTCCCAGAATGTACTTTACAAAACGAAAACGTTTTATGGTAATCGATTCATCCATTACAGAATTATGCGTGAACATACATACGAAGAATAAAGTTATTGAAATATGAACCTACTAATTCTGATATCGTACGGTCCTGAACGAAAAGTCAGCTCTATCCTTGTCTAAAAAGGTGTGAGATTACTAATTGCGGTCAGCTTAAGTTGTAATGATCATAAAGATTTTGCGAGCTCACGAGATCCCTACCAGCAGGTATAATTATCTCGCATTTTTAAAAACGCGACCTCGATCTAAATTTTGCAAAATAAAAATTTCATGAAAATTTTCAATATTTTTAACATTAGTTTTCAATCGAATAATAATATATCGATGAAGAGTCTCTCCCGGTTAAAATAAAAGAAAAAATGGAGGTCAATAGGATGAACATTTCCAGAGAAAAAAATTCAAATGTACGACCCATTTTCACGAGAATGGACAAAAATCGCAATATTTGAAGACTTGTAAACCCTTCCTAATTTCGCGTAAACTACAATATATTTCATTTGGAACAAAATCCGAGACAACGACCAAAGAAAGTGATCGATTTGCCGTGAAATGACCCTGAAGCGTGTCAGATGAAGACAAAGAGGAGGATCCCAAGCGAAGAAAAGTCGGAGGTCGTCGGTCGTTGGGAAAGGAAAACGGCAAGAAAGGGATTCAATTAGATCTTCAATGGAGCTTGTATACGAGACGCTTATAGCCACTTGCGATCGCTGGGCTCAGCTACCGACTCACGATGACCTGACCAGGATTCCCGTGAGCTTCGCTCCCCCCTTCGTGACCCCCTCTGCCTGCTCCGGGAGCTCTTTCACTTGGCAAAGTTCGGGCATCGCTCCAAGATGCCGCAGAAATCGCGTGCCACGTTAGAAATTCAGGCCAGTTTGAACTTGGCTCGATGCGGCACCAGCCAAATTCCGCTGGACGAACACGCGTGGGTTTTGGCCAAGCTCCTGTGATCAGGAATCTGTGCATACTTCTCAGCATTTTTCTGCGTTGAGAAGGTTTGACGGGCCAAGGAGTCTCATGGACCATCTCATCCTCTTATAATTCAAACTACAATTTGGTATTCGGCTTCTGAATAGAAATGAAGAGTAAGATTCGTAGACACTGTTAATGAAGTATAAATTGAAGGATGTATATTGAAACGCGAATTTTTAACCGGAGGAGAGTCTATCATGGTACTAATGGAGGTCAAGCTTCAGGCTACCACGTAAACGGAGCTCCTAGGGGTCCTCGTTCGTTGAATGTTTAAATTGACTGCTGTCAAAGGAACAAATTCTTTTCCATTTCAAAGCTAGTAAACGTAATCCTGAAGGGAGATATCATAAACACGATACATAAATTAAATAACTAAATAATTTCCCTGTGCATCAAACGTAAAAATGATAAATTTAAAAAATGATGCACCTTTTCAAAAAATCTAAAAATAATCACACATCTGTATTTATTAAAAATGTTCCCATTATATAAAGATAAAGATTAAATTAAACGTGATTACGTTAATGCGACATGACGCAACTGGTCTCGTACGTTTTCACGTAATTTTAACGACCGATGAGATTCATCCAAATGCAATCTAGGTGTCGACGCAGAGGAAATTGGTATCGAATGACGAGAGGAAGAGACCCATTCGTGAATCGCGTGATCAGTTTTTGGTGTTGAACCGCGTCTGACTGTGGGGAAGTAATTACGATAAGTGTGAGCATGATTCAGGATCACAGGGCGGGGTGGTCGGGTTTCACCGACTGCTTCTTCGGATTCCAACTAAATTTACATAGTGCCAGTTAAATATCCGTTTCTCGAGCGTGAATCGTAATTACCGAGCCACGATCCCAGCGAGTTCCCGAAATTAGTGGCTAATCGCGTTTAAACCAAGTAACTGGGGCTAGGATTAGTCGAATAATTTAATTTTCCGACATTTTAGAGGTGCGTGAATGCTACGGATAAAATTTAAACATCAGTAATCCGACTATTGCTATACAAATATTATTACTGAAATATTATTATTGAAATATAATAATTCGAGTCTTATTATTCGAACACCAATATTTGGCTAATATTATAAACCGAATAAATTTTAAATATTTCTGTACGAATGTGAAATGTATTCTGTAAAGAAATATTTCCCAATCAATCTGCCATGTTTGACGGAAGAAAATTGAACAACAAGGAAACAATGAGTTACGCAGGTGTGCGTTGAGCGGATCTACCATACGAAAAATAAAAAACATTTTTAACCCAACATATTTCGTATTCATCGTGCACGCGTTAGTTTGGTATTCGCGCAATATGGAAACGCAATTGCAAAATAGTGATCGTTTTACGGAACGGATCGCTTCGTGAAACGTAATTACTTTTTCACTGTGCAATTTCGTTTTGCTTGCGTGGAGTAAACCATGCGTTGTTTACTTGAACAAAAACAGACTGGATTGAAATTAAAGCAAGTAACACAAGATTCAGTAATTGCGATGTAACAAAAAGAAAATTATTTTAGACTGGTCTTTTTTTTTCCTGGAATACATGTGGGCTTCATTTTTAGATATTGCACTCTCGCGTATTCTTGATTGTGTATACAATCTTATATACATAATATTAAACAATTCCCTTATCAAATTCATCATTTATATTTACAACAGCAAAAAAAAAACGAATACAAACTTTGATTAACGTATTAATTTTAACAGAATTAACTGCAATATATTCCTAACAATCCGAATATCCCCCAAAACCATGAAATGTTTGTTGTCCAAGGATTACTTCTAACTAGGGAGGGACTTCATCTAACTATATTTATTTTTTCTAAAGCCTGAGAACAAACCAAATTAATTTTCGACTTCTTCCGAAATAAAAATATTGCTAATGACGTACCGAAATGTTCGCGATAAGGCAATTGTGCGTGCATACGTTACGAGTAGAAGTGACAAAGTACTTTATTTCGCACTTACCTTGTACTCTTTCTTCGCCGAAATTGCACAAAACATAGACAACGAAAGAAGTCAACGGGGCGCCAAGTAAAAATTCACTCTGAGCCAAGTTTCGTAGGAAAAAAAAATAATACGCGGCAAAACACCGAAATACAGCTCGGTCGTTGAATCCAACGCGAATGCATAAATTAAAAAATCTACAAACGCAACGTATGGACAAAGACTGAATAAAATTATTTGTCACGTGGAAACGGTACGTGCTTTGTCAGATGTATGAAATGTAATTCACAAGTAACGGTAGGCAATGAACGAAAAAGTGTGAAGAATGAAATATTCTAAATTTTTATGAATTAAATTTCATTTTCTAAATCATACTTTTGATGTATGCGAAAGACACGTAACTGTGTTCATTCGAAAAATGAGTCGAACGATAAATTATTTATTCATGACTGATCTACTTTAAGTTTAAATTTTCGTTCAAGTATAGCATTATCGCAAATAGTATCGTCATTCTTCAGGGACATGTCGGTTAAAGCTGTTTAGTTAATATTTATGATACCAAGTGTTATTACCAATAATATATACAGATAACTCGATCATTGTAATCTTATCTAAATCCAATGACGTAGTTTATCGTCCTAGTAGAAATTATTGCAAACACTGTGTAAATAAATAAGTTGCAAATTTAACTGTTAACCCAAGGAATCCCGCGTTAACCAGAGTTCGTACGTGGCGCCATCTATTTGTCACTCCAGGAACTATTACGCTAAATAAAGAAGTAAATTAAAAAATATCGCCAAATTGATAGTTGTACGATTATAATAAAATTTATCGAAAAGACTGACAAAACACACAAAAGTAATAAAATTTAAAATTATAACAATTATCGATGAGAAGCATGATATTATTGATGAGCAATTTCATTAGAAATTTAGTCATTATCTTAGCTGATACATTTTACAATCGATACAATAGTAAATAATTATATCAGGGAGTAAATCATTTACTGGATCGATGACAGTATAAAGCACTTGCTCAGTTGATAATGTCGATCTCTGTATACGTTGCGTAAAGCGCTGCTCCAGCGAGAAGAGCGCCTAATTGTTCTTAATTAGAGTAAATTGAAGGTTACCAGGGGACAACTAAATGTGAACCAATCCATGGCATCGTCCTCCTCTCAACCAATAGTGAGTCTCGATTATACTGACGATCACCAATCATAGGGCAAAACTTATCGGCGCTACGAGCGCCAACTCGATGTCCTAGATTAAGCTGAACATAATGATTTCGTTTCTCTTACTCTCATATTTCACGTAACGAACGAGTGCAATGATTATAATTAAAAATTGCAGTCAGCAACCCTGTCAATCTATTCGTGTAAAAAAATTACATACCACATGTCAAAGTTTGGAATATTTCATACATCTGACACTGCCCACGTAGTTTCTCGAATGCTATACGATAATTATGAAACATTTAGTGCAATATTATGAAAATAACGATTAATATTAAAATTACAAATAAATGAAACGGTGAGGAAGACACGATTTAAAATGTACTTACCTCGAACGTAGGGACGAAGGCACTGGGTCCATCGAAAGCTGGCACTGGCACTGGCAGTCCCCTGTCCTGCAACAAATAAACATTATCTTTAGTATTGTATTACCCGTCTAATGGGGATTCTTAATCTTAACTGTAGAAGTAGTCCGATATGTAGAAGATTCGCTAGTACATGCCCGGCTAGCTCAGTCGGTAGAGCATGAGACTCTTAATCTCAGGGTCGTGGGTTCGAGCCCCACGTTGGGCGAAATTTTTTTTCTTTTATATTTCAACAAAAAATACTTTTTGATACTTATACTTTCCAGTCCCATTACATACAATAATGCTAATGTGTTTACTTTGAAAAGGTAATATATTTTTAAACGCCAGTGAGGTATTATGTAGCGTGCTATCCTGCTTCGTAATCGAGTTACATGTTTCATGTGAGTCATACGGAACCCTATCGATCAGTCTCTACATACTGCAGGGAAATTGATTACAAAAACTCTTCCCAAAAATACATTCATTGTGTATTAGTAAACGCAAGCAGGCTACATGACTTTGTTACATATTTAAACGTAAACCATATCGTAATGAAGTCCAGTTCGCTGTAGAATTTAATTAACGAGGACTAATATTAGGGAAACTTTAAACAAATATTTAGTACGTTTGGGCACTTGGCTTCGAGCCATCTTCAAAATCTAAAAATATTAGCAAATAACATTCAATATTTCCAGATTCAGTTTATACTGCGTTAGACATGTCTGGCATTCGTGCAACGAGCAAGTCAAAGTGGCCGACGTATTTTTGGACCACGATTCGAGCCCGTTCCATAATTAGAAACAGTTAAAACAACTCCATTAACGTAAGCATTGGTCCTTCCCGAACCGTAAACCGTAAAAATATCATGTCGCTCAACGAAATCGTCGGAAAACAACAAACAGGATATGAGAAATAAGTTTCGTTCATTTACATTTTTACTCGCGCTGAAAACAAACATTTCCTTCGTGGAACTTTATAGTGATTCTTAAACGGGCAAAAATTGCACTTAAGTATTTTTACTTTGAAATGCAGACGAAAATATGTAAGTTGAAAAATATGCTATTCCTTTTTACTCTTGAAATCGACTGAATCCTCTTTAATTACAATTCATTCGAACCATTTGTAAAACTTCCAACTGTTGTAATTAAAAATTGTGATAATAATCACAAAGATGCAGTGAGAAAATTAAAAAATGTTCTCAGCTTGATTTAGTAGCTGACATGCTAATACACGAGCTGCGCCGCTTTAAAGTTCAGTCAGTGGGGTTTGCTCGGTTCTATCTGAAGAGTCATGGCAAAAAGATAATAGAAAATCTAAAATCTATCTACCCTGTAGAATTTGATACCTCGAGTCGTCATCGAAAATAATAATTTTCATCTGTCCTTTACTCGAACCGACTGTAGTCAGATAAAATCAATTGACTGCTCAAGGTCACCGAGGGGTTATCCCTACCATCCCCTTTAACTACCCTGTCGCTCTATCTCTCGTTTCCTCGCGCAAACCTTTCTGTCCTTCAAACAAGGCGGCAGGCTAGGTCTCTACAGTACCGCTCGCACCTATTAGATCGATCAAAACATCTTCCCTGTCTTCCCAGTTGACTGAAAGTAATTAAAGTATCCATGCAGAGCTTAACAATATTTGAAGAACTTTTCTCAACATGCCTGTAAAATTGTATTAAAGCATCCCCAAACTCTAAACAGAAACTATTCGACCCTCAAAACACGGGTATCTTCGATCGATCGATACCCCAAAATTTCTCCTAAGTTACAGGAAACACCAGGCTTACCTTGACCATCTCCAGGATCTCCGCACACTTGATCCTTACGTTCTGAAATGGACAGTTCACGCTGAGCCTCAGTATCACCGGTAGATGCAACGTCACCAGGCTCAGGTACTTGTTGGCCTGCGCCTGCCTAGGCCCGTCCAGCGCGTTTCCCAGATTCAGCATCCTGCCAACGTCCCCAGGTGTCACGTCAGGGCTCTCCAGCACTCTACCGCTCTTGAAAGAGACATCCTCGTCCTGCGAGAGCGGCCTCTTGATCTGACCAGCGCTGAACTTCCTCTCGTCGTTCTTGCGCAGATAATCCTGAGGCTGGTCGGGCCGTCCACAGCGCTGACGATCCTCCAGGTGATCATCTTCGCGAGCGAAGATCTCAAAATTCTGCAACTTCATGTCTTCGGACCGATTGTCGTCGAGTTGTCTGTGATAGATTTCGTTCGCGTTCTCATTTTCAAAGCCATCCAGCGTGTTGAACACCACTCCGTCGCGGTTCCTGATGGCGATCTCTGTCTCGTCGAAGGAAACGTCATCTCCGCTATCATAACACCTTCGATCCCGCGATAAAACGTCCCCTGTGGGACGATAATTCAAATTTCTGCGATCGAAGTTAGCTGCCAGATTATCGTCGAACTTGGGACTCTTTCCGTAGATCCTCGTGTCAGAGTCCAGATCGTCATCCTCCAACTGCTTCTGCTTCGCCCCCTTCACCTTCACGTAATTCTTCGCCTTTGGTCGATCCTCCAAAGTCACTTCGTTCAATCTCTCATTCGACGACGACCCGATGTACTTCCTCTCGCTCTCGCTGCTAGACCCGAAACGGGTCTCTGAACCTTCCTTGAACCTCAGGCATCGGTCCTGTTCGATCTTGAAGCCCTTTCCCTCATCTGACGACGTCGAGTGACCCGATCTGCGGCAAACCAAAGCCAGAGATTAAATTTGGGTGAGTGGGAGATTAAATTTGGGACGAATCTAATTAACAGGGGTGAATTGTACGAGGAACTATTTAATAAGGGTCATTCTTGGATATTACTAGTCTAAGGGCTAGACTATATTCTGAATCAAGAAAGAATCCATTCATCGTCAACGCATTTGATGACATTGGCTCGGAAGTAATAATTGTAAAAAAAGGGGGGTGCATTTATCCAATTTTAATAAACTGATTTCAATTTCTCTGTACTTAGCCAAACAATTCGAACTTTGTTCGTATCTCAAGATGTTAATCTAGACAGCCTCTCTCTGACCTGTAGCTCCCCACGTCGTATCGTCTCCTCTCGTTTGGGGTGCCATAACCAGTCTCGTTCCCCAAGCGTCCATCCACGCAATCGAAGGAGCCCGACGGATATCTTTCTATGCACTCTAGACTGCTGTCCTCCAGAAAAGGAGGGTTCTCCGTGACGCTCTGGGGGAAGAAACCTTCCGTCCTGAACGTGTCCTGGAGTAGCTGCTGCTGATGCGGAAGTTGTTGCACGTTCTTCGGCGCCGACTTCGTCGGCGAGCGCTCCACGCTCATGTCGTATCTTCGCGTGAAAGGTAACGCAGCCATCGATTAGCGTGGACGAAAAATTCAGGCGGAAGTGAATGGGAAAACTAGCAGCGTTTGATCGAGGGCCGGGTGACTCTGTGAGTTTTCTCCTACCATTTAATGAGGGCCTTGCATCGAGACGTAAATATTATCTTTCCCACGGAACGGGCACCGGAGAGTTCATAAATCATTAATGCGTTTACCGGGGATAGAGCGGAACTGTACGTCTATGAGTCAGGTTTGGAGAAAACAGGTTGCTAAATTCTATGTCATAAGTGTAAGAATGAACAAGTATTTAACTATTTTTTTACCGTATGCGTTAGGTCTGAAGAAAACGAGTTGCTAAATTCTATGTTTTGTGTGTAAGAATGAACCCGCCATTTTTTTTTTTTACATGCGTCCGCTTTTTCCCAGTGATATCCAACTAGAAACGCGACGATTGCAATAACGTTTCGGAAAGAAATATTCTACCTAGTTCCAGTTTATATCTGCATGCAGCTGTAATACTTTCGAAGCAAAATAAAGTATTTATAAATTCGCTTTGTGTAGTTGGGTGCGTGAGATAAAAGAGTTATTGCATTAGGATGTTACATATGCAATGTATAATATGAACCTCTTAACCTCTTCTTCACGCCCTTGGGCACATACGTGGACGTATAGTTTTTTATAATTATAATTACTGTCGATAATATAATAAAAAGAACAAAAGTAGTCCCTGAAGACGTTAAATGTCTTTACGTTTATGGGTGTGTCAGATACCAAGTGCAATACGTAATCACTTTGTCAACAATGTAGAAACAAAAGGATTTTCTGTCCAATGCCAATACGTGAAAAATCTATAGCATATCGCAACCGCAAGTGACAAAATTCGTGGACAAATTCTAGCTCAGATTCCGTGGTTACAAGTGAAAGGAGCTGTCTCAACATTGATACTGGCGGTCTTATCATCGAGTCGTATCGGTAGAAGTCATGTTCCCATCATGCTACACACTCACCTTCCATCTTGGCTCTTGAACGTCCCCCCGAGGTCCTCAGCGTCCTCCATCTCACCAGTGTCGTCCCAGTGATTGGGGCTTCCAACGCCCCCCAACCATCCCTCGACGGTGTTCCTGGCCGCAGCCAGGGCGATGTTTCTGGCGGTTTCATCCCTCGCGCATAAAGGCGCTAAAAATCTGCTAACGATCTCGACCTCGTCGCCCTTTGTGGAGGTGCCGCTAGCCGAGGAACTGTTCGAATCTCTGTACATCTCGTCTTATCTTCTCCTCGATATTTCTCCTCTTTCTCTACACCTCTATAATATCTTTGAAAATTCGCGACCTGCGCGCGAACGCGTACAAACAATACACAGGCTTCAATTCGACGAGATATTTCGAAGCCGATTTGGAAAATTGTGTATTTAATTTAATATAATTTAATAACGTAGTCCTTAAGGTACGTCGAGGACCAGTGTCAGAATCTTCCTCGTCGAAGGAGCTGGAACATAAAAGAGGGAAGGTTGATTGGTTAATATACGGATGGTTATATTTTATAGGAATAATAGGCACATTATGAGTGATGTATAGTTGAATATTTATTTCAGAGTGCGACCGAATCGAAACGAACCTTTTAAAGAAAACGATCGATCTCCTTCTGTCTTTCGGTTGATTCCCTGTCCCGTCGTTCTGCTCGTTCTGCTGTCTCTTCTGTTTCGTCTCGAGGCGCGAATGTTGCTGTTATCTCAACGGCAACACGTTACATTATTCTTTACATCGTTACGCGACTTCCCTGTCGAAGAGTCTGCGGAATTCTGTTGCAATTGAGGTGGGCTGTCCTCGGTTCCGCGTGGATCGTCGACGTCGACTTAATCCATTGGACGACTGCAAGCAAACGGAAGAAAGGAATGGTGTAATTTTCAATTGTTCTTTACTATTAAAATCTATTTGGGACTTAATTCCCCAAAAATACTTTACTTCGGCGTCACATACAGCATGAATTCGACTGCCAGTAGGACTCTTTAAAAATCGTTGTTTAATCAACAGCGTGCAAAATGAAAATTGCACATGCATTAATTTCCTCAAAATTAATTCCCAAGGACGACTACAATTTCGGAGCAATTCGACTGTCTGGTCCTCTTTAATAGGCACCTCACGATGACGTGGAGATTAACGTCGATCGAACATTACGCAACGTTTGCAATTGAAAGCTGGCAACTCAACCGCGGAGTTGTGAACTTTAACGTAATCACCGTTGCATTGTGCCAGTTGATTCTGGTTCCCAAATCGTTAACCCGTGACGACTTTCTGGTGCGTTAACGCGCGTTCACGGATCGATTAAGCCCGAACCGAACTCGTTCGATCGATCGAGCTTCGCCCTGTCGAGTACGGACGAGCACGTAAAAAAATTCGATCGCTGCGCCTAGCAAACAGGAACGAGCGATTATCGGGGCCGCTTACGCGATTAGTCGATGTCAGGCTGCGGCGGTCTTCCCATTGATTGATCGACCCCCACGAGGCAAGGCCTAGGTCAAGGCCATCGAGGTCAGGAAATAAGAGAGGTCGCGTGAACGCTGCAACTTATCTGGAGGGGGAGGCTGCGCCATCCAGTATCTTCAAGAGGATAAAACGGGGTGCATTCGCACACTCGAACCGGAGAGGCCTCGCATCGATTTCTCGACGTTATGCTTGCTACGGGTTGCAAACAGTTATCCAATCGCTTTTTTATATCGTTCACAACAGGACCTTTACTTCTTCTTCGATTATAATACATTCGTGATCAGATCCGTTTAATTATAAACAATTGACGGTTGAACAAATCAGTTACTACGTTTGCTGCCGAATAACCTAATTCATATTCTAAGAAAAAAATAAAAACGTAGACGTAATTCATGTAGTCAAATCGACGGAGACCCCTGATTTCCCAGAATCGATTCATAGATCCCTATGTTAGACTAGTTGTTGAATTAAAGATCAACATACATGTTTACGTTTCGTGCTTATACAATTTTGTTCTCCCTGTGTACTACTCTAGCGGTTAGAAAATTATCAGGATTATCGAGACAAGTCTATTTTTTGAAGCGGTAACCCAAGAAAGAGACGCAAGAATAAATTAAACTAAGTAATAATAATAATAATACCCATAATGAACTACAGCTATGATCCCTTAGAAAACTCCAAAAAAAAAAACACCTTAAATACTGTTGCAGCTTCGTAATAAAACAACGATAATGAACACTTGCTTCAGAGTGGGTAATTTCCTTAATAGCTAATAAGCATTCAAGGTAAAGCACATCTTCGATGCTATAAAGTTGCAAGTAAAATTGAATACCATAATAATCATAATAATAATGACAGGTCTTCATCGAACGAAATTAAATATAATAAACCGAAACTCAGGTAAATGTTGGTTGCAATTACAGTGAAGAAGCGAGGCGCGGCTGCACGCCACTGCAAATCTAATCTCGAGTATGATAATTCTTAATAGACGACGTATACGAAAGTTGGAAATGTAATAAAAGAGGAAAAAAGGTAACAACGATAATAGCATAATAGCAAGGCGTAACAACGAGATACGAAGTTCAGAAGAAACGTTGTAATCGCAGCAATTTCTTAACAGGTGAGATGCATTCCGTTTTGCAACAAAAAGGAATTGCGCAAAGCATCGCGCACAACCGCGGCATTAACCGGCAATAAAAAGTTCCCTGCTTGAAAGAATTCGATCCCACGCACCGAAACGCGCCCATAACGCGCGTTTTCCTATTGCAAAAACAAGAACGGCTGCCATGAATTCGTTTCTCGATGATCTGTAATTCTGCCTTGTCGGAAGGATCGCGAAAATGGCCAGTTTTGGAACAGAAATATTTTTGTGCCAAGCGTATATGGAACATTCACGATAACGAGGTCTCGATTTATTTAGGCAAGTGTTTCAGTTGCAAAGGAAGCACTCGTCGGTGCAAAATATAGAGTAGCTTCTGTAGAATATATTTAGCATATTAATGTGTTCTGTCTATCTTCGAGAAGAGGCGGGAATAGCACAACAGCTATTTCGCGACACTTATCGAGGATTCGCTGTGCCTCCCAAATTATTGAGTTCTTGATGACCTTACCTTATACCTTTTATACAGAGAATGACCTAAGGAACTGATTCATGTAAAATCTTTAGTATTTTTACTATTGTTACTCGCTACAGACCTATATCTAGACCCAGCTGTTCTCCCTGTTTAACCAGTCGGCTGTGGCGTCCTCTTTTCAGAGCGCGCACCTATGTGTGTCGTGAGAATCAAGCTACGACAGGTATAGTCGTCAAACACGGTATAGTATTGGATCGCAAAGACGGCTGTACAGGGTGTTACCAGATTAAATGGCCAAACATAAAAGATGAATTTAGGAAACCAAAACAAAAAAGAATTTCTTCTAGAAATATGCTCGCAAACGTATCGTTCAAGAGTTATTCATTTCTGGAGTTACAAAATAATAGTAATGAATATAGCAAAATAATCTCTATAATGAGATTCTAATTGCATTAAATATAAAAAAAAAAGAAAAATAGTAATGGATAGACTGCGGATCTTTACGCAGAATAAAATCTTCGCGAACTTTACTTTCAATTTTTTTTGTATTGTCCCATATTGTTTGCATTTTGTAAGTTCTTGTACATTCAAATTTCCTATAAATGCGTAAAGATCCGCAGGCTAGTAATGAATAATGTCGAAATGTCCTTTTCCTTGTTTTGAAGATCGTTGATACGCTTTTGCTTGTAAAGAAAAGCATATCAATGATCTCCACATGTGCCAAGCAGGGTTTGAATTATAATCAATCGCAATTTGTAAATTAAGTCATTAATTTATACAAATTTAATCCAATCAATTCAATTAATAAGTATTTTAAATAAATAAAAGCATTAAACAAATTATTGAAAAGAAATTATTATTATTATTATTATTAAAAAGCAATAAAGATAAGTTTATTATTTAGGAATGATTTATTCCTAATTCCTAATAGAATAACTACAAAAATAAATAACTCTTGAACGAAACATTTGCGAGCATATTTCTGGACGAAACATTTTTTTTTCTTTTGGGATTCAAAATTCACCTTTTAAGTTTGGCTATTTTATCTTAAATAACCAATGGTAACTAAATATCATGCATGACGAATATACTCGTCATGACACGAAATACTGCTTTTTCTCCATTACGAGTATACTCGTAAATCACAGCTGACTGGTTAAAACTATTTGTTTCTCGAAAAGAGTACTAAAAACGACCATTCTCGACCACTGTCCTTCCCATCAGCGCGCAATATTTATTTTTCTCTTTTATTCTCCCCGCCTTTCATCGCCTCGTTCCCTTCGAAATTTCACCACTCGAGGCCTCTTTCGCAAACGCATCGATCGCCCGCACTCGATGCGCGAAACAAGGGCCGGCCAGGGTCGTTGTTTGCCATTTTTAATATCTCGTTTCGGTTGCAGCGTTTCTCGTTTCGCGGAAATCGATGGGACCGCGGGAAAGGGGTCGGCCACGACGATAAGAGTATCGCGGGACGATATTTACTAGGCGAAAGGACACGGGAAAACGACGAAAAAGAAATTCGACAGTCACGGTAGGAACCGGGAAGAGCAACGAGCGCGGTCACGCACTCGCGATGCAACCGCGGCATAACGGCGAGGTTTATCGTCTGGATGAAGCAAAAGAAACACGAGAAAAAGGAAAACCGTCGGAAGAAAGAGCGCAAAACGGTGTTTCAACGTTTTCAGCGTTTCTTCGAGGCGATCTACGGAACGATCTAAATATTTATAATTCCCCAAAGCCTAACCCTTCCATTCGCACCGCTATGAATTATTAATGTCGCGCCGTGCTACCGTATGCCAGTGCACGTCGCCGTGCATTTCTGATACGTGTACTTTGTCTTCGAGATATAAGGATGGTCAGGGCCCTGCGGATGTACGAGGCGATAAAACGCTCGCCTCGCGTGCCTAGAGGCCTGAAATTAAATAAAATCTGGATAAATCGTAGCGATTCTCCAGTATTCGTCCGTGTGTCTGCTTGAGACTAGGGCTGAGACTGTTTGGATGACTTCATTTGAAGTAAACATGGAAAATAAATTGTTCAAGTATTAAAATATTTTCGTACATTCCCACTAACGCTTTCGACTAGCCACCAGTAATATTTAGGTGTTAAAAAAGTATTACACAATTGTAGTATTACATGATGCTTCCAGAACTCAAGTTCAATGTTTGTTAAACATAGAATAATTTTCAATTCTTCGATCAATCAATGCTTTGATCGCTTGCTCCTGTACCTCTCTTACGCGTTGATTGATCGAAGTGATTGTCGAACGAAATTCTAAATTTCAAATCACCCCTATATTACCATGCATAAATACCAAAGAATAACAAGACTGCAATTAGGTATTTGGGTTAATTTAATATTTGAATATTTGTTAATATAGATTTATACGATTCAATGCATACTGATGTATAATTAGAAATAACACTATATGCAAATCAGTTAGAGACCAAAATAAGTATACTAATTTCGACAAGTCCTAATTGGAACAGAGCGGAGATGTGTAGGTACTTGAAATAGGCAATGGTATATAAATATTAGAATTCCTTCAACGTCTTTAAGTCACTGTACGTGTAATTATTTGAAACGGTAGATGTGACGTGAACAGCACAAGTAACTATTTTTATACTAGATCACGAACGTACGTAATATTTCTACCGATTACATAACAAATATATATAATTCGAAATAACTTTTCCATTTCAATTTCAGTAAATAGTACTAAATCCAATAAGTACTTAAATATTACATTGCATTCGTATCGTAAAATTAAAAACTCCTAAATGAATTAAAAGTTTATAGAGCGTGTGATTT